AAATGAATAGATTTTTATTTTTGTAAAAGGGCCAATATGTGTTTTATAATGTTGTAATAATATATTTAGAAAAAGTACTATTCTTATCACCTGCTAAAAAATTGAGTTTGTTAATAGAGATGCAAAATGTTAAAAAAATGTAATTTTACTTCCATATATAATACGTATTCATCATACTTGTACTGGTTGCTAAAATGCAAAAAAAAAACAAAAGTTGGCTTAGATATATGGCCTTTGAAAAAAGTAAAGGATACCAAAAATAAAAACTTTTGAAAAATAACTTTCTACATTTTTTTAAGCTTAATAGGCCTTAAAATCAAACATGAATAAATGAAAAACAAACAAAGGATGGCTCTGGTATATGGACAATGAAAAACTCTTTGGATACAAACAATAAGTTTTTGAAAAATTAAAGTGATTGCATTTTTTTAGGCTTAATGGGCCTTTAAATCAAACAGGTATAACTGTTTAAGATGTATGTAGGATTACATGTCCCAAAACATTTCATTATATAAAATTATGTTATCTTATTTTTTTTTTGTTTTGGGTTTTCATGGTTTTACGTCACATTGACACAGTATAGGTCATATCGCGACGTTCCAGCTTTACTGGTGGAGGAAGGCACCTGAGTAGAAGTAAGCTAGCTGGATAGCTTCCTCACATGAAAGAATCCAAAGTCCCTGTCGGGATTCGAACCCACAGCGGTGAGGGGCAAGTGGTTTGAAGTCAACGACCTTAACCACTCGGCAACAGACGCCCCATCTTATTTTCATCAAAGCATTGCAATAGCATGTCACTTGAACAACAAACATGTATATATATGTGATAATATGTTTACATATGTACTTGATACATTCATTCATTCAGAATAAAGGTACAGACAAGTGTAACATATGTTTATATATAACATATCTTAATCCTGGTACATGTATTTATCACACACCCGGACCGATTTTGCGAATCAATAAAATTGGTATTGCACCACGTGCATATATTTTGACGTGACGTCATTAGCGTTATACAAACATAGTGTACAGACGCGCTAAATGTTAGCGTTTTACTATAGGCGCGTCAATAAAAAATGACTCTTATTTCACTTTAAAACGGTCTTTATTTTGGGTATGTGATAAATAGAATATTAAAATTCGTGTAAGTTCATTACTGAATTTATTGCACTCGTTGAATAAAATAATATAATGCTCGCCAGAGGCTCGCATAATATAATTTTATTCAACTCGTGCAATAAATTCAGTATTGAACTTACACTCATTCAATATCCTCTATATACTAACATCAGCAAGCATAAAAAAACTAACTTAGCTTAAATAAAATGTAGTTATATCTTTACTGTCTTAGCATCATATGAATCCACAGATACTGGGCTGAACTACAATCATCACAAATGAAGTGTATTTGTTTATATGCATGGGTAACCCATTCACATTTATACTGATTGAATTAAAATTTACATTTTCTCAGTGCACAATATTTCAAAAGCTAGGCAATCCTTTAATGGTAAATTTTATTTCAAAGTAACGGTACATAAATTGCGGAAAATCAAAATATAAAGTAGACAAATGTAACATTTTTACTGAAATATTGAAATAAGCTGAGTAATTATAGACTTACAGATATTTCTGTCATAATTTATTTCCTTAGTATAGTCAAAACCTGGTATATATCCAAGAGAGGCCGCTAAGAACCGGCAAATTACCCTTGGGACAGCCGAGAATGGGAATATATATCCCTGAGGAGCAGCCACAAACTGGTATAATATTCCTGATATGTACATCTTAATTTACAGATAGACATGTTTATACTCATTTACCTTAAGTTTATCTATATAATTTAAAAAAAAATAAACATTAAAGTTCACTTAAAAAAGCTCCACTGAGGTCCAAAACCCTAAATAAAAAATTAAAGTAGAAAATCCGAAACAGATTAATTTGGAAACTTAATACGGAAAATATATAACAAGAGCACCACTAGGCAGAGCATTATATGCCCAAAAGTGTTGATTTTTTAGTAAGGTTGAAGCATGTGTAAGACATGAGAATTAAAGTATTACCTCCTTCAAATAGCAATCCATGCCTCTGAAGTTTAAATATTGTGGACCAAGTGGAACTTAAGTTATGTTCTGGAAACGTTTTACAGTTTTAAAGTAATAGTGACCTTTGACCTTGTAACCCCAAAATCGATAGGGGTCTTCTACCCAATATGGACAATCATCGTATGAAGTTTGAACACCTTTGGCCAAATGGAACTTATGTTCCAGAAACTGTTTTCAGTTTTAAGGTCATTGTGACCTTGACCTTTGACCATGTGACCCCAAAAGCAATAGGGGTCTTTTACTCAATATGGACAATCATCCTATGCAGTTTAAATATTGTGGACCAAATGGAACTTAAGTTATGCTCCGGAAACTGTTTTCAGTTTGAAGGTCAAACGGACGGACGGACAAACGGACGGACGCCAGGGGGTTTAACATATTATGACTGAAATTATTTCAGGCATATAAAAATAATACTATTTCTAAAGAAAAAAACTTAGAAAAAAATTGAAAATTAATATTTATTATGTGTAATTTTAAGGGGAGTTAAGCTATAAACATTTATATCATTTTGAACCACAAGAGCTCTCGACAGCACAGTGTGCTCAGCTATCCACAGTGATGGCGACTGCAGAACTTTTTAACTTCAAAAAGGGCAATAACTCTGTCAAAATTTATGTTATATTCATGGTCCTCGGACAGAGACTTCCTATTACTCTCATATGTGCGTGAGGTTCTAATCCACCCGAAGTTGTAATGGAGATACAGCTTGATCTAAAGAATGATCTAAATTTTTTGCACACAAGTTAATAGTTATATTGAAATAGTAGGAAACCTCAAGAATATTCTCATCCTATCAATCTAAAAAAATCAAGAAAATTTAATTCCGAACATGTCAAAAATCCTAAGTGAAGCCCCTTTAGATATACACTTTGACTGATACTGACTAATAATATTAACTTGTACAAAGTAATTGTTTTTGCATAATTATAATTTTTCCCCCTTTTTCAATCCTTACCATATAAAACAATCAAAGAAGGAATTTCTAAAATATAACTTGTAAGTAGTCCTCATCTCCATGAAAAAAATTAGCATACCATTTACTTGTCCTCACATCTAACAGGTATTCATATAAAAAATTTACAATTCCTCTATATCATATAATCCTATATATCATTTAATTGGTAATAATATATACTGATCATCTGCCCTATAAATCAAACAACTGGTATTTATATATACCATTCCCTTGTCCTTAGTATAATGTATAATACAACTGGTATTTATAAATACGATTCATTGTACTATAAATCATATAACTGGTATTATTATACCATTCCCCTGTCCAATATATCATATAACTGGTATTTATAAATACAATTCCCTTGTCCTTAGTATAATGTATAATACAACTGGTATTTATAAATACCATTCCCTTGTCCAATATATGAAATAACTGGTTATTATTATACCATTCCCTTGTCCTATATATCATATAACTGGTATATATAAATACCATTCCCTTGTCCTATATACATATAACTGGTATCTATATATACCATTCCCCTGTCCTATATATCACATAACTGGTATATATAAAATATATATACCATTCCCTTGTCCTATATATCATATAACTGGTATATATAACTATATATATACCATTCCCTTGTCATATATATAACATATAACTGGTATTTATATATACCATTCGCTTGTCTTATATAACATATAACTGGTATCTATATATACCATTCCCTTGTCATATATATAACATATAACTGGTATTTATATATACCATTCTCTTGTCATATATAACATATAACTGGTACCATTTCCTTAAATCATATATCATATAACTATTTAAGCATGTATATATCATTCTCTTTGTGTTTTTTTTATTTTCATGTATGATAGTATCCATTTATATATTACAATTTTGTTCAATGATAATAAAAACAACTTCAACCCCTAACTCTTGTCAAATTCCTGATTATTATAATGTGTGATTCTATTTTTTACCATAAAAAGTAAATGTGCTTAGAAATGGGCTTATTAATTATAAATAAAGTATATTTTACTTTTTCAACCTATTAACTGACATCATCCTCCTTTTTGACTTTGTACATTCAATATTTGTTTTATAATATATAATTCATTTAATTTACTTATTCATTAATTTATTTACTTGTTTATTTACAAACCTATTTATACATTTATAATTAGAACATTACTTTTTTTCAAATCAGTTTTTTTACAACCTATTCCTGATCTTTAGAAAAGAACCTTTATCTTTATTAAAATCAATATATGAGCCGTGTCACGACAAAACCAACATAATGGGTTTGCGACCAGCATGGATCCAGACCAGCCTGCACATCCGCAGTCTGATCAGGATCCATGCTGTTCACTTACAAACCCTATAACAAGTAGTGAAACTGATAGCAAACAGCATGGATCCTGATCAGACTGCGCGGATGTGCAGGCTGGTCTGGATCCATGCTGGTCGCAAACCCATTATGTTGGTTTTGTCATGACGCGGCTCATATCTATTATATTTTAATGCATTTCTTTCATTTATTTATTTATAAACACAATTTGAATATTACTGTCTTCAATTTCAATATTATAAATACTTTTGTTACATTGACAAGACATCAATATCTATTTTTTAAATTGTTTTTAAATTGTTATCATAATGCATTAAATTCATCCTCTTGCTCCACAATAATATGTTAATTACTTGTCATAAGAATCACTTTTTTCAAGAAAAAAATAAAAAAAAATAAAAATTATTGTAACTTTCACATAAAATTAATTCAGTTCAAACACTATGTTATCTGCATGTATTTTATCCCACTATGTTAAAAATTCAAACCATTATTTTTGTTGAAAAGGTAGAAAAACAAAAATTAGTGTTCAAACACTATGTAACTACATGGATACTTTATCACTTTTTTGTTGAAAATTCAAACGTATAAACACTATCATATTTAACATGAAATAACTGAACCTTATCCTTTACATACTGTATAGCATCATTTCCCTTCTGTCCTCTAAGTCCTTGTAATGTCAATGTAAACAGATCATCATTAAACTCCTCACCATCTCCTGTTATATAACAGCCCTTTACATTCACATCTACAGTATGAGGAATACTAGGAAGACTATCAACCAACTTCTGCCATGTTGTCAAACTCATTGTGACATACCAAAGCTCAATGTTCTTTAAACTCTTCATCTCTAAAGGTAACTGTATTATATTGTCAGTTAACCTATAACAAAATAACTTTAGCTTACTGAGATTGTGTAACAATGGTAATACTGTGACTAGTCTCTTTGTTATGTTGGTATAATATAATTGAGATTTATTGATATATTCTCCATACAAAACAAGTTCTTTTAATTTGTAAGATTTTCTAATAATATCAAATATTTTCTCATAATTACTATTGTTCAATTCTCTAAAATTAAATATTTCAAGGTTTGTAGTACCAGCATCTGATCACATTAACGCAAATAAACAAACAAAGGTGACTGAAGTTGTTGATTGTTTTGATAAATTAACATCAGGCTGCTTCCCTACACTCACAGTTAACTTTCATCAAGAAGTGTATTTGATCAAATGACTTGTGTTCCCTCAAGAAATTACAAAATAGTAGTATCATCATGACTCATTTTATATCACCCAGTAGCGTATTGCTACAAGATTGATATACTAGGTTAGGTAAACTAAACAACTGTATTTACACACTGGGTAATACTTGTGAGTGTAATAGACACCATAAAGAGACAGAGATTTAAATGTTGAAGTATTGACTTTAATTGTCTCAGCAACACAATTGTTAATCTCATCAATCCTCTGTTCATTACTCTGTGTACTATCACTTTGTGTACTTAAGAACCTTTGTGATGTAGGGCCATACGATATTGATTCATTACCATCATTATCATATGTTATTTTAATGTTTTCAAGATGATGCAACATTGGTAAATATTTTGTAAATTTAACATTTTCTGTGTTGATGTCATCTACCTTAATAGACAGAACAGAGTCAGGAACAATTTGATGCTGGTCAATACTTGAACAAACAATATCACAATACTGACCCCATCTTTTAATGACCAAATCTCCTATATAAAATACAGAATTACTTCCTACACTACATGCTGCATTTAATTCTTCCATTGAGTCAAACATAAGCTTTTGAATATCAGTAATACAATCATAATCCCTATAATTTATTGTTCTCCTGTATTCCTGAACACGAGAGTCTTCTGACACAGTATCATATATGTATTTTGAAACATGTGTTGCTAATCTAGGTTCAAGACCACATAGCATAATGATAACATTTGACTGCTCTAATATGTCATTTACTGTTGAACATTTCTGAAAAACCTCATTAATAAATTTCTTGGCTAATTCAACATTTCCTGTACTATCTGACAAACCAATTTTTGCATTGAAATTGATGCAAATATTCACTGCAGCCAGAAATTCTTGCATTGATTTGTGAATGAAAGAGAACAATGAGCTTGGTGGTTCTGATACAGATAAACTTGGACATTCATCTTCTGTAATTATTCCAAGTTTCAAGCAATTTTCTCTTACTTCATCTGATATTTCTAGTTCATCAAACATAGAAATGTCAAATGTCAAAGATTTATCCTTCGGACAATTAAATAGTGTCTCATAAGCTAACTGCGACACATAATAAATGAGATGGCTGTTTAATTTTAATATCTTTTTATCAGCTAAGGTTTTAGGAAGATCTACTTTCTGAACACCCTCCATGAGTCTAGTATTTGTTCCTGTAGTTTTCATATCATTCCATATAAAGAAAAGTTCTAACATCCCAGTGTAGATGGCACATCTTGAGGTTTTATCAATTTTACCATCAAACCATAGACAAATCAGTTGCTGCAACATAATTGGTACCTGTTTTAAACTTTTCAGGGACTTTTCTTCTAGCTTTTGTTTACAAACCCTGGCATCTTTACTAGCATGCCTGCTGGAATTTAATTGTGAGACTGTTTTATCTACCATTTCACTCTCACATCTCAAATCAAACCCTTTCAGATTCAGTAACTGTTCAATTTCTGTCTCACTTATTCCTAGGGTGTGAACTTTCCATGGCCGTGATGTAGTAACGATTGTGTAGTCTTTCTTAACATCCTGTTTCGGGAGACCCATTGTCTGGAACTGATTGTAGGACTTTCTTTCAGAAGACCATTCATCTAAGCCATCCAGCAATATTATAACCTTTGCAGAGTCTTTTTTGAGAACTGGGCTTGAAATGTCAATATCATACTGATTTTTAATCATATCCTGGACACTGTCTATGTCTTGATTATGTCTTAGGGAGATATAAAACATGAAATCAAATTTGTTCATTTCCTTGACTCCTTCAAACTCATCTTCTACATTTTGTGCACCACTGTGTGCAATACACCAACAGTTGACCAAATATTTACAGAAACTACTCTTACCAGACCCTGCATCTCCAAGAACATATATATGTTTCAAAGGCACGCCATTCTTTATGAAGATATCTGACATTGACTTGAACTCAATCTCCTTTGTCTCCCCTTCCTCTCCTTTTATTTCTCTTGTTATAGTGGGCCTAACATAAATCTCACTGAAGTTACATTTCTGACCTCGTGGTAGTAAAGGCATTGCTGGTACTTTTAGCAAATTCTTACAGTATGATGCTATCATCTCTTTCTGCCATTCTAAAATTATAATATAGTATAACATTAAGCTGTTAACACACTTATTAGTGACTCACAGATTTATAATAAACCATGAACAAACAAAACAATTACCCTTGGCAAACTATAACATATTAGGTTAAAAGTAACCTAGGAGCTGTTTTGTTGCTAAATTGACTATAAGAATGAAAAGATCAAAAATTGAAGAATACTCTTACCATATGTTTTCTGTTATATAATCATAATTAGTTAAATGATCAACTATTATGTCATGGCTTTAATACATGTATATCACAATATGACTACACTTGTTACTAAATATAGAAACAAGAACTGTTGAACGACACATATGCCGCCCTTTCAAGCCTTTGACTCACATTATTGGTTATTTTGTTAAAGAAACTTGCCATAAATGGGTACATGAAAGAGTTCAGTTATGGAAACAAGAGGGCCATGATGGCCCTGAGGTCGCTCACCTGTATAGAGGCCCCCGGAGCGGGGCCAGTTTAACCACCAGGGCTTTTATTTGAACAAACTTGGAAGACACCCATTAGAAGATGTTTCATGATGTTTAGTTTTTACTACACACATATAATGTAAAACAATGACATGCAACCCCCCCCCCCATTCGGCAGGGCCAATTTTAACCTAAGGGCTTTTATTTGAACAAACTTGGTAGACACCAATAAGAAGATGTTTCATGCTAAATATCTAAGCTCTAGCTCATTAGTTTTTTTAAAAGAAGATTTTTTTATGTTCTTACTATACAAATATAGTTAAAAACAATGACACCCCAGGGGCGGGCCCAGTTTTGACCCCAGGGCTTATATTTGAACAAACTTTGTAGACACTTACTAGAAGATGTTTAATGCTTAATATCTAAACTCTAGTTATTCGGGTTTTTTCATAGAAGATTTTTGAAGTTTTGCTATACACATATAAGGAAAATGAATGACCCCCGGGCGGGGCCAATTTTGACCCAAGGGCATTTATTTGAACAAACTTGGTAGACAACCATTAGAACATGTTTCATGCTAAATATCTTAGCTCTAGCTCTTTGAGTTCTTGAAAAGAAGATTTTTTAAGTTTTTACTATATGCATATAGGGAAAATCTATGACCCCCTGGGGCTGAGCCAATTTTGACCCCAGGGCTTTTATTTGAACAAACTTGGTAGACACTCACTAGAAGATGCTTCATGCCAAATATCTAAGCTCTAGCTCTTTGGGTTTTTTCTTTCGGTTGCCATGGCAACCAGAGTTCTGCATGGAATTAAATTCTTTGAATTTTTTTTAAAGGTGACCACCAAAGGAACATTCTTGTAAAGTTTGGATGAAATTGGCTTAGTGGTTTATGAGGAGATGTCTTTAAAAGTAAAAGTTTACGGACGGACGGACGACGGACAGACGCCAGACGAAAAGCGATCACAAAAGCTCACCCTGTCACTTTGTGACAGGTGAGCTAAAAAGAAAAAAATATGAAGACTTTGTGATAAAAAGTTTTCAAGAAAATGAGCGGAAGCCATTCTGACATCTAAGGGCCCCATGACCTTGACCTTTGAACTAGTGACGAAAAACCAATAGGGGTCATCTAAAAGTTATGACCAATCAATATTAGAATATGAAGACTTTGTGATAAATAGCTTTTAAGATGATGAGCAGAATCCACACTAACATTCAAGGACCCTTTGACCTTGACCTTTGACCCCAAAACAATTTGGGTCATGTACTAGTTATGACTAATCACTACGTGAAATATGAAGACGTTGTGATAATTATCTTCAAGATAAAAATGAGCTGAAATCATAGGACCCTGTGACCTTGATCTTTGACCTGATGACCCCAAGATTGTGAGCAGAAAGCATTCAAACATGTTTGGCCCCTGTAATCTTTACCTTTGACCTGGTGACCCCAAAATCAACAGGGGTTATCTACTAGTTATAACCAATCAATATGTGAAATATGAAGACTTTGTGATAAATAGCCACAAAGATAATAAGTTAAAAACATACTACCATTCAAGGCCCCTTTGACCTAGTGACCCCATAATCAATGGAGGTTATCTACTTGTTACGACCAATCAATATGTGAAATATGAAGACTGTGATAAATAGTAACCAAGAAAAAGAGCAGAAATCATTCTGACATTTAAGGCACCTGTGACCTTGACCTTTGACCTAGTAGCCTCAAAATCAAAAGTGGTCATCTACAAGTAATGGCTAATCACTATGTGAAATATGAAAACTTTGTGATGACCACTTTCCAAGATAAAGCCATTCTGACATATAAGGCCCCTGTCACCTTAACCTTTGACCTTGTGACCCCAAAATCATTACGGGTCAAATATTAGTTATGACACATCGCTATGTGAAATATGAAAACTTTGTGGTGCATTATTTTCAAGATATTCAGCAGAAACCATTCTGACATTTAAGGTACCTGTGACCTTGACCTTTGACCTTGTGATCCCAAAATCGAAAGGGTTCATCTACTCTTTATGACCAATCACTATTTGAAATATGAAGACTTTAAGATGCATAGTTTTCAAGACAATCAGCGGAAACCATTCTGACATTTAAGGCCTCTGTGACCTTGACTTTTGACCTAGTGACCTTTCAAACAATAGGGGTCATTTACTCATTCTGACCAATCACTATGTGAAATATGAAGACTTTGTGATAAACAGTTTTTAAGATAATCAGCGGAAACCATGTGGTCTACCGACGGACAGACCGACAGAACAACAGACAGACTGACAGACCGACATAAGAAAAAACTATAAACCCCCTTTTTTCAAAGAGGGGCAAAACAAAATTTCAAATACATAAGAGTGTCATGTGAGCTATCATGAGTTTGCGATCCTGACCGCTGAACATTGAACACGAGCACATGCAAAAATGAAAACAATGACATCACATTACTTACGTCATCACAACCACTAGCTGTAAAGTGAAAGTAGGTTTTAAGCACCAAACACATGAGTTAAGGATGAGAACATTTTATAAGCTTAATAAAAAACAACAAACAACAGTTTTATTCTGAGAAACTTGATTCTACAGAAGTGAACTTTGTAAGGGAAGCAACTCTTTTAAAGTCGTTTTCGGTAGTTTTTTGTGCGCATCGTTATGCTCATCCAAGTAAGATAATCACAGACAATTACTCTTCAAAAAGAAGGTCAAGTTTAATAGTACTCGAATAACTGTTTAAATTTCGGCCACAAGCAAAAAATGAGTAAATAATACAAAATAGATATTTTTAAATGTTCAGGAGGAGATCGATTCAAAAGAATAAGAAATCGTTTAGACAGCATCAGATAAAGGATTTCTCCTAGCATTTGTACGACAGCATTGGTGATGATTCTTCGCGCGTTACCCCACCCACTTGTGGTATAATGACAAAAGTGCGTTGCCACTTGATTACTGGCAGACAAGTGGGCAAAGACGTTTAAAATGATATATTAGAAAAATGTTGAATTGAAAAAACAAAAATAATATCGAAGAAATGTCCCGATTTTCATTATTTTCTTTGTAAATTTCTGATTATTTGCTTACTGTTCGGGTATGTTAGTTGATCCAAGAAATAATATGGTCTTAATTTATAACCTGTTCTAAAAAACATATTAAGTATCATTACTTAATATAACATCAAAAGAAATAGAAATTTATAATACAACTTGTTTTTGTTGTATATTCCCGTCCCTAGATTTGCCACTAGTTGCCAGCTATTTCCACCAAAAAGGGTGGAATTAAGTGTAAAAAGGGTGGCATTAGCTGGAAAATGACAAAATTCCACTCTTTTTCCACTGTAGTGGCAAAATTACCACTAAATGCCACTATCCTTTGGTGGCATTTAGGTGGTATTTAGGTGGAAATTTGAACATAGACTTTTTTCATGGTGGAAAAAGGGTGGAAATTGGTGGAAAATGAAACTTAGTTTATTTTGAAGGTGGAAAATGAGTGGCATTTAGTGGAAAAGTGAAACTCTAACTATTTTCTGGGTGGCAAATTGGTGGAAAAAAACTTAGAAAATTTTTTGAGTAACTTTTAGTAGAAAAGCGGAACTCTAACTTTTTTCTGGGTGGCAAATTGGTGGCAAATTGGTGGAAAAAAACTTAGAAAATTTTTTGAATAACTTTTAATAGAAAGCAAAACTCTAACATTTTTCTGGGTGACATATGCATGAAAAAAAAACTAAGAAATAATTGTGCATTGAAGGTTTGAAATTTATTTAAGTCAAAGCTCCAAATTGAAATAAATCTGTTTGTATTGTTTACTCTATCAATTTGAGCTTCAAGTATTTTTTTATCAAAAATATGTTTAATTGCAAGTTGAAAAGTTTGAAAATGTATCAGACACTTGTATCTTAGAAATCTTTATATGATATTAACACAATTCATACACAGTCACTATAAACAGTTTTCATATGTTTAATAACATGATACACATATGCATCAATCAATCTGCCTCCACTGAATTAATCAATCTCCTTCTACTGTATTTGGTAATCTGCATATATACCGAACAGTGTTCACTTCAAAGCTGACTAAAAGTTCTTGGATATCCATGGCCTTCTCAACAGACTGCTCCTTACTGCAATAAATATATGATATAAATTTAGTTTACCATATTCTGACATTATACTGGTAATAGAGGTTGCTATACAACTTGAGAGAGTTCCATGTTAAACGCTTGATTGAACCTGAATAATAGCAATGACTTTAAATCTTTTTTTCTTTTTTTTGGTTACTTTTAAGTGAATTAAATCAATTTTAATAAAAAAAAGTAACATACATCAAAATATCCTACCTTCTAGATAGATATTTTTTAACATGATGAGCATTTCCGGCTAACAAAGGTGTGCCACCAGTTAATTCTTTGCCAACAGCATAGACATGGGATGTGTCATCATCGACCACAAAGTATTCGACTTCCATGACCTTGTGTTTGTGCAGGTTGTCAATAATGCTGACAGTGTAAGAATTCCTCTTCTTTACTTTGGATTGATTCCTGCTGTAAACAGAGCG